ACTCCTCGGAAGGAAGGTTGGGCAATCCTACTTCCGTAGTGATACTGCCTCGGAAACCCAAGGAGGGGTCGCTATGAGTTGGGGCCGACTCCACGGCACATAACAACAACAACAACAACATGAGTTGGAATAGACTCCACAGCATTGAGTTTTGTTTTTTTGTTTAAGATCATTTAGCCAGGCTGCTCATGGGCCATGCAAGGTAGGTTTTAGGAAATTTGTTTACTTGTTGGGTCAAAGAGGGAGAGGCAGCTGCTACTCGACCTCCGGCATTTGCCAGTTTAACTCCATTTTGCTGTCCCTGGTAGCATTTCCAGATTGCAACTGGCCACCTGCTCACGCAGCTCCCTGTGGGAAGTGTTCTGGAATCTTAGGATGTGACACCCGTCTACCAAACGATGAGTGCTCAAAACTCTGATCCTCGGGGCCCTTTATGGAGGGCTAAATTCTCAGAGGCGATCCAGCCGTCAACAGGGCAGGCCAAAGGAGGCTTTTGCAGCATTCGCCGCCAAAAACGTTTACCCTTCTTGGCCCTCTCCGGCCCTCGAAAAAGCAGTGCGGAGACCCCGCCCCCACCCTGGGATCTAGTTAGAGAAAATGGGAAGACAGAACCCGCCAGTCAGAACAATTGAACGCCGCGCAAAATTCTAACAGGCATCTGGCCGCGCCCCTCCGCGGGGCGGGGTCGGGGTGGCCCGAAGATGGCGGCGGGCCTGATGGTCACTCTCCTAGACGCCCTTAACTTGTTCTCGCCGCCGCACCACCTACCTTGTTAGCAAGGAGGAGGTCCCGACGCGCGGCGCTAGGGAGCGGGTGGGAGCGGTGATTCGCATTTGGAGGCGCCAATGAGCACCCAGAAGTCTGTGCCGCGCCCAATCAAGGGCCGAGATGGAGGAGAAAGGGGTAGGTTGCAATCACTTTGCGCATGTGGCGGACGCGGAACCTTTTGGACCTTTCCTGCTGCTGGGCCGGAGCCTCCCGCCTTGCTTCTTCCCGCACGCTGTCCACCACGGCCCGTAGCATCGGCTCGAGGACGTCGGGGACGAGCTGACCAGCCGTCTGCCTGCCGGTCTGACTGGTTTGTGGCCCTAGACCAGGAGCGTCTCCTGCAGCGGTCGCGGGGCCACCTCCGCGCCTACTGCCATGATCAGCTTTCTCCCCAAAGGGAACTTTTCTTCAGCAGTTAATGCAGAGAGAGATGATGGGCACCTGCTGGCATCAGGACAATGAAATGAATTCTCGGTCGGCCAGTTAAGGAGATTCTGCTGAAGGTCGCCTGCATCGCCTGGGCTTGTTATTTTTTGCCCGGCGTCGTGCTGCCGGTGGGCATCTTGTGAGAGAGGCCTCGCCGGCTATTTGGGCGCGCGGCAGGTGCAGGGGAAACAGCGGCCGCTGTGGGCTGTCGCGGAGCGCAGCATGTTCCCGCGGAGGCCTCCGGCCGCCGTGGCTGTTTGGCTGGCTGGCGCGGCCGCGGCGGGGCGCGCGGGGGCGCGGTGCGGGGGCCTGCTCGCCCTGCTGGCCAATCAATGCCGCTTCGTGACGAGCCTGCGCGTGCGGCGCGCGCAGCAGATCGGGCAGCTCTACGGCCGCCTCTATTCGGAGAGCTCCCGCCGCGTCCTCCTCAGTCGGCTCTGGCGCCGGCTGCGCGGCCGTGCTGGCCATGTCTCTACCTTAATGGCGGCGCTCGCCGGCGTGTTCGTGTGGGACGAGGAGAGGATCCAGGAGGAGGAGTTGCAGAGGTGGGTCCTGTCGCAGCGGCCTTATTCTGTGGGGCGCGGGGAGTGGGCAGTCAGGTTGGAAAGGTTGGGACATGTGAATCCTGAGGCCTGCTTTTCCGATAAGTCTTTTCAGTTTGCTCGGTGGTGATGCAGTAAATTGGGTTTTAGCAAGCCATGTTTTTTTACTGTCCGTTATGTATTAATTTAAGGAGCTTTGGTGGTGTTACGTGTTTAAAGCATTCGGCTGCTAGCCAGAAGGTGGGTGGTTCGAACCCACCAGCCCCTCCGCGGAGGAACGATGGGGCAGTCTTCCCTAAAGATTTATACAGCCTTGGAAAGCCAGTGAGGGTCGCTATTAGTCCGAATCGACTCGATGGCAGTGAGTTTGCTTTTGGTTAATGCATTAATTGGTCTGTCAGGTTACAAATGAGAACTGAATGTGTAGGTTACTTACTGTAAGAGAAAGACATTGAATAGGGAGCATGACGCTAATGAAATAACATTGTAAAAATAAATTAGGTACTGAAGGCATATAGGTCATTGTTCCAGTAATCTTTACATACTCAGAAAGGTGCGAATGCAAAACAAGTATTAAACTGTACTTAAGGGCGTAGTTCTGCAATTTACCGAATGACCTTAATCCAAATGGGAATTAGATTCTCTGGGAAATGCCAGGAGAGCTCTCTGTGACTCCAGTCATGGCAGAATTATAATGCTAGAACGGATTTGCCCTCCTTAGACAAACCAGTGGCCCAGACATTTTTTTAACTGGTAAGATAGATTAGTTTTTTGCTGCTTTATTTAGAATTTTGGGAGTACTTATTCATTAAGCTCTGAAATCATGCTGACATTGAAATTTCTATGTGAAAAGTGAATGTGTTTATCTGTGATTCTAAATCTAAAACTTCTTACAGATCGTAAGTAAACTCAAGGAGAAATTTAGCTTTGACTCTCCCTTTACATTGTTTTTGTGGTACCTTTTAAACATATTCTTAAATTGTGCTTACTCCCCTCCCCCCACTTTGCTTCTCAACTCTGAAACTTTTGAAAGATTGATGTCAGGATCCTGGAACAAAGCCCTCTCCCTGATAAATACCACACAAGTCTGTTTATTCTAGGCATTTCTTCAATAGAGAACTAACCATTTCACATCTTTGGTTAGGTTAGAAATGGAAATACTCCGGTAAAGTTTACAATGTGGCCTCTTTGGGAGGTGGAACACCTAGATGCCATGCAGCAGAGTGAATTGTGGGTAAATTTAAGTCTATTTTAAGAACTGGGAATACTTTTCCTAGCAGGAAGGATGCCTATTTTAAAAATACAATTTAAAAATCATAATGACAAACAATCTTAGTCACAAAAAAGCTGAGGAAGCAAAGCGTGGTATATAGTTTGCCTAATTTACATTCTTTTGCTATTTGTCCAATTGTTTTGATCAAATAGTCTCAGGTATTAGGAAATAAAAATTATTGTGAGAAGAAAACTTTAAAATTAAGCAATTATTAGTTTGAATTTTCATTGTTTTTGACACTAATAGACCCATGTTCCAGCAGTGGTGAAGTTTGAGGTGAAAATCTCCAAGCGAATCTGTTTGTGGAAGAGGGAATAGGCCGGGTGTTCTGGATGTAAAAGAGGGAAAATGTTATTTTGGAGTCAGGAGTTGAATAGCTTTGAGGCTTAGGTTGTAGATGACACTCTTTAGCTTACTTCATGTGCTTTTATGGATAATATGCCCTGGAGCCTCTGTCGAGCAGTTCTTGCATTTGCAAGAGCTGTTGTTGTTGTTGTTATGTGCCATCGAGTCAAACCCGACTCATAGCGACCCTTCCTTGGGTTTCCGAGGCAGTATCACTACGGAAGTAGGATTGCCCAACCTTCCTTCCGAGGAGTGGCTGGTGGGTTTGAACCGCCAGCCGTCTGGTTAGCAGGCAAGTGTCTTAGCCACTATGCTACCAGAGCTCCAAGAGCTAGAGGTGAAAAACCAGCTGGGAATGAACATGGTAAATGTTTGAGTCTAATAGTCCATTCATTGCCTGCTTGGATGGAGAGATCAGACCAGTTGATGACCAGGCCAGGTATCTATTCTTTTACCCTCCCTTCCAGCTGTCTGAAACCTTCATGCAGTTTATACCCTCTTGGTTCTAATTCAACTCCTGAACAGGCATTGTTCCACCTTACCAGTTTGGGGATTTCCGAAGTTTAGATGAAGGCTCCCAGAACCTTCTTAATGTTTCTTTGAACCTCTGGTTTGTTCTGTTAAAGCCCATCATTTAACACTTCATTGTCCAGTTCGTGTATGAATGCTTTTATTCTTATGCTTAAAATTTGATCAAGATTCTCATCCTGTGGCTAATTTTTTCATAACATATATTAGGTCAAATAATAATGCTGTTAAACTACGTCTTGGTTGTGCAGTGGTTATTTAGGTCTTTTTTGAGAGCTTGCCATGTGTATATTTTACTGAATATTTTCTTGCTTGGTGTTTAAGTGTTCTGTTTGCTCAAAAATAAGCCCTGCTGAGATTGTCATAACTAGCTTACGACATCTTAAATGTTTTTACTCTTGTTAGTTGATTTTGGGTAGCTTCCATAATGGAGCACAGTTGAGTGTTTCCCAGCAAGTGCATTTCTTTCATTGTTAATGGATGAAAAGCATGATTGTCACATGGCCCCTAAATCACAGCCTTTGCCTCTTCTGTACTGTTTCTATACCAACTTGTCCTGGTACAAACTAATTCTGATATTGCCATCTTGGTTAAACAGTGATGGGGTGTGCAGGATCTCTTTGAATGTGTGCTTTAAAATTGGCATGTGTTACTCTTATAGTTTGAGTTTCTATTCAGAATGAACCACCTCTTGTCTGTCGTCGTATGATGGCTTTCATGTTGCTGTGATGCTGGAAGCTATGCCGTTGATGTTTCAAATACCTGCAGGGTCACACATGGAGAACAGGTTTCAGCAGAGCATCCAGACTAAGACAGAAGGATGTGGCGGTCTACTGTGGGGGTAGGGGGTGGGGGTGGGAATTGGCCACTGAAAACCTTGTGAATATCAGTGAAACATTGTTTTGTATAGTGCCAGAAGATGAGACCCTCAAAGACTGTGAGGATGGCACAGAACCAGGCAGTGTTTTGTTCTGTTGTACATAGCGTCACTATGAGTCGGAACCAGCTGGACAGCAACAATTCAGAATGAAAAATAACCTGCTTTCTATTCTGTTGTGGTTAAGGACATCTTGCTAAATAGGATCTCATTTATCTATCAACAGCAAGGAAATTCGAGAAAGGAAGCAACTTGTATAAAGTGATTTTGACTCACTGCTGGGGCCAGGGGTAGAAATCAAATCTTTTCATGCATGCGTGATCTGGTATTTTTACCTAACTGGCTTCAGTTAAAGAAGCAAACAAAGTAACTTTCGCTAGCCATTTTTGGTGCAAGCTGGTATTCTGTGAACCCAGAGAAAATTTTATGGAAAAATACAGTAGCAATTTTTTATTGCTTTGGAAAGTTAAATGAAAAATTACAGCATTAAAAAGGGGAAGGAAGTTAAGAAATATAGAGGGCTGGGGAAAATGTTCCGCTAACCTCCCTTCACTCCTTTTTAAGTTCATTGCTCTAGATATTTGAGTAAATAAAGCCAGTAAAAGTTCATAAGGAAAATTGGCCATTACCCTCATTTCTGTCTTCTAGGGCATTCCAAATAAGTTTAACTTTTCAGTATGTTATTAGCTAGATAAATAATCAACATAAAGGTCTTTTGGCTGGAAGGAATTATTACTAGTTTTTGCCAGTAATAACTTACTTCCAGGTATCTTATCGATGTACCCTTCTTAGATAGTTGTTGTTACATGCCGTCGAGTCGGCCCCGACTCATAGCGACCCCTCCTTGGGTTTCCGAGGCAGTATCATTACAGAAGTAGGATTGCCCAACCTTTCTTCCGAGGAGTGGCTGGTGGGTTTGAACCCCAGCCTTCTGGTTAGCAGTCAAGTGCCTTAGGCACTGTGCTACCAGAGCTGTGTCTTAGATCATTGTTGTCGTTGTTATGTGCCGTCGAGTCGGCCCCGACTCATAGCGACCCCTCCTTGGGTTTCCGAGGCAGTATCACTACGGAAGTAGGATTGCCCAACCTTCCTTCCGAGGAGTGGCTGGTGGGTTTGAACCGCCAGCCGTCTGGTTAGCAGGCAAGTGTCTTAGCCACTATGCTACCAGAGCTCCCCTTAGATCATTAGAACTACATAAAAGGTGACCTGAACTTTTTGAGATTGTCTTCATTATTTACCATTAGTTAGCCTAGAATTACAGTGAGCTCTCTGATGTTTTTTATTTCTAGGTATGTCTCATATCAGTAGTACTTGAAAGCTCCAAACTTTGACTGTAATTTAGGATTTGAGGAGGGGATTATGTGAAAGAGGCAGATAGATATCTTGTTGAAATTTCTAATCACTGGGATGACTTCATTTGAGTCATTTTGGAGTTTTGAATCAAGTTCTAGATTGAGAGCAGGGCCACTAGGTAAGCCAAACGTGCTTTTTTACATTCTGTTTTCAAGGTTGCATGCCTTCTGTCTCCATGGCTTTCAGCCCACACCCACTGCCGTGGAGTTGATTCTGACTCATAGTGACCCTGTAGGACAGAATAGAAAGGACTGCCTTATAGGGCTTCCAAGGCTGTAAATCTTTATGGAAGCAGACTGCCACAGTACAGTGGACTGGTGAGTTCAAACCACTGACCTTTTGGTTAGCAGCTAAATGCTTTAACCATGGCACCACCAGAGCCTTTATCAAATACTGAAATGATTTTTGTTTTAGGGAAAAGGAAGCATTGGCTTTCTTTGATCCGCTTACTAATTGGCTGGGTCTGTTACTATTTTGGGAATAATCTCTTTTGTCCTTCTTTCTTCTCCTTATTAAATTTAAGTCTCTTAGATACCAAAGCCAAACAAGATTTGGCACAAAAGGCTACAGAGATATGTGTGGCTAGAGTTTTTCTTTTCTCCTTATATATGATAGTGAGCCACTTTA